AACAATTGGGCTAGGCCTTCACAAAGGTTAATTTGGGATCCAGGCTGAGGGCACTTGGTATTATCGTTAAATAACACATGGTATCATATTTAGAGGCTATCGTGAATTACGTGCAAAGACATTTCTGATATTTTCTCATCCTCAATTCTGTATCAGTCTTTCTCATCCCGTTTCTTCTTAATTCTGTTGAAATCTTCCCAACTTTAGTTAGTGTTTGCTTTCTAATTCCCATTTAATGTTTAATATAATCGATCAGTTCTATTGAAAGAGAGTCGTCCACTCTTAGTTTGTTACACTCTGGATTTGATCTAAATGTATGTGAGGATGTGTTATAAGGATAGAGTTTTGGTTTTCTGCCATTAAGCTAATAGATTATATTTGTTTGCCCCTTCGCCTAAGCCCCACTAACATATATCCGAATAGCTTGTCTACCAAGTACCAATTCATCAGCAGCTTAATAGCTCTATCTAAAACTTTTCATGGTGAGACCAAGTTACACACGATCTACAATATGGGGGAATCAAACTTCAAAGTATTAGAGTACTTACTGTTTGGGAACAAATTAAAAATTGTGAATTAGAGTACTTACTGTTTGGGAAGAAAAGACTTCAAACCCATTAGGCTAACTAATTTTCGGACGGGTAATTGAAAAATGAGGAATTTTCAGAAATGACTATTGTTTAGTGCTTATTAATTTTCTATAGTTACCGTATACATAATTACTTTCCGTAGCTACCTTTCAGTTGTTATGGTAATGTATTCGACGTATTCGAGCTACTGTATTCATGAATACAGTAGCAAAAATTGGCTAAAAAGCAAAAAATTTTAATTTTCTATTCACAATATTTTATTTATTCCTAATGCTTGGTATTGCTGCTTTATTGGGTATATTTCATTTGTTGTATTCATTGATTTTTATTTGTATTGAGAGTATTTTACTGTATTTCATTATATTGTTGTTTTAAATACAGATGGATACAGTTAGGTTGAAAATACATATGAATACAATTAGATTGAATGCATAACTAATTGATGAATAACATCAAAATAATAAAACTAATAATGTATTTAAAAATGTTGTTGTATGAACTCAAATACATATTAATACATCTAAATACAACAATCAAAAATCACTGTACAAAATAAAAATTAGTGTATGCCTTATCGAATGCATATAAATACATCTAAATATAAGAAGAGAAAATTAATGTATAAATATATGTTTTATCGAATACATATAAATACAAGAAGAGAAAATCACCGTACAAACTAAAAATCCCAAACCTAATCCTAATCTCATTGGCCGCTGCCACCGTCTCCTCTGTCCTTTCCTCTCCCATGTCAACATTCAAAATTAATTCAGCAAAATCACTGTACACTGAAAAATCTTCTCTATCAATATACTGGATAAAATCAAGTTGAGTTCTTTGACTTTATGGGTGATGGTGGAAAGGACCCAGACAGTAACATCGGATGAGAAACAACGTTTAAAGGAGAAATCAAGGTGGAGTTTTGATATGCTGCTGCTGTTACAGTGCATGTTTATAAGGGATTTGTCAACAAATTTTCGCCATCACCCATCCGCAAAATCTACTCTGGGGTTTGAGAACAATCTAGAGAGAGAATCTGTAAATAAAGGAGAGAATCGTAGTTCAACAATGGGGAAGACAACAGAGAGAATAAACTGAAAGAATGAGAGAGAAAAATATTAGACAGCGTATTTAATGGCTTAACTGTAGGAAGTGACCATAAATACATATTTTGCTATAAAAACTAAAAAGGTAGTTACAGAAAATAATATTTTAAAAGAGTTTTTATTTATAATAAATAGAGTGTAAAGCTTTGTTATAGGAGGTACAATTTTCTTGAAAAATAGCTAGCTTTTGTAAAAGCCATTAAAAAATAACCACTATTTTGCTAAAATACGAAAAGTTTTAGCATAATATGCTGGATTATGGAGCTCATGCATATAAACTTCTAGCATATTATGTTGAAACTCCAGCACACAGAAAGTTTTAGCATAATATGCTAGATTATGGAGTTCCTACATATAAACTTCCAGCATATTATATTAGAACTCTAGCACGTTTTGATAGTTCTAATATGTGAAAAATTCGAACTCGAGCATATTATGCTTGATTTTTTTTTTGGATTTTAATGGTGTTTTTGTTTAGACTAGCTTTAGTGTATGTGCGTTGCACGTGTGTTTAACGTCAATCAGTAAAATATATGTATACGAAGAACATGTAAATCAAGTTATCAAATGCTAAGTTTTAAAAATGTCTACATTTAGTTAATATTTTAAAATAAGCAATTTTGTACAGAGAAAGGTATAGTGAGTTGTCATTTATTTGAACGAATACGGGAAAGAAAATTAATTAACAATAACTAACTTATAATATATTTTGTCTTCTAATATTTCATTCTTATTGTTTTTAACGTTTGTATTTTTAACAGTTTGACTCTTACTACTATATTATAATCTATTTTATTATAAATTTTGAAAAGAATGACTTGAATTTTTTGCAAATTAGTTAAATCAAAGACTTTTTGGTTAATTAGGATTGTTCTTAACGTTAAAGAGATTTATTTTGTTGTTGATTCAAATCTTAATAATAGCTCATCCCAAGTTTTAAATATTTAATTGTAATTATAATTTTTATCCAATAAGAATTTTACGTTCAATATAATAAAAAAATTGTTCATGGTACGCACATCGCGCGTGTATCCTATCTCAATGAGTGTTTGAGTTATGAAATAAAATCATAAGTTCCTGCCAATACTCATTAATATTGACATTGTACGTATAACCAAGAAAAAAGTGTCTCATAGAAATCCTCAATCATCACCTAATAATTCAACTTAAAATTTATGCCACTTTTTTAATAAATAAAGTTAGCATGCTTCCTTTTCGGTTTCAGTAGTACATATAGTCATTGAAAACATAAATAATGGATAGAACTTCACACATATAGCAAACAACTAATAATTCATGAATTTCAGATGAACACAAAATCAAAGAGCCTTGAAAATGAGAAAAGATATTCAAAAAGAATACTAAAGTAAGCTAGTAAAATACATCGGAGAATGACTCAAAATTATATTTGAAAGAGTATATTTAGTTTCAATATATTATTATTCAAGTGAAATTAGTATTTAAATAATTCTAATATTGTTTAACTCCATTTGTCGTTATATTTGAAAATAATTAGTTTTATAACAGTTTTTTTTAAAAAAATTAAAAGGTAAATTATCGATACACATTTCGATTGGAGAATATGAATTTCTTCTTAATTTGAAAGGCATATCTTTGGAAAAAATCTTACGAAAATTGTAGTAATTCATGTAACATGATATTAAATAAAAAATGATTGATATATCTGTTTTTTGGTAATTAATTTTTGATATTTATTATACATTTTTATTATGATTCTTCAAAAGGCCATCAATAAAAATAATATTATTTTTCTCATAGATTTGGAATAAAGAGGGTCGTCATATAGTTTTTAGAAGAAACTGGTTCACACGTAAACCATTTGAGCACATATATTTTATATTAATTTGAAGGGCATATCCTTTGGGGTAAGCTTACAAAAATTGTAGTCATTTTTGTGACATAATATTAAATCTAACATGATCGAAATCGTTATATATTTTTATTATAATTCTTCAAACAGTCATCAAATTAACATTAATTAAAAAAATTGTATCTTTCTTTTAGAGCCATTGGAATGAACGGCTAGGTCATATAGTTTATAGGGAAAAAATGAATAATTAAGTAACAGTGTAAAGTCTAAAATTGACTAATACTAAATGTGTATTTTACAACCAATAACTTATTACGTATACAAAAAACTATAGAGGGCCATTTATTGGAATAGATGAAAAATAAAAATAATAATAAATGTCAACTTATTTTGAATACGTATTATTTCATTCTTATTTCTTCTATTTTGAATTTTAACCAAGTTAATTTTTAATACTATATTATAATTGATTCGATTTTATTTTCTAATTTTTTTCATCATCAGTGGTCTTTTTTTATTGAAATATATCTATTTAAGCCAAGATTTTTGTTAACCTGAAGATAGGTTTACTTGTATGATGAATTTGAAAAATAATGAAATTATTTTTTTTTGCTAATTAGCTATTCCAAATACTTAATTATTTATTTCCAGCAATAAAAAATATAAATTATATTTTATTGATTTAAATTCTTAATATTAGATCATACCAAATTTTAAATATTCGATTATAATTATATTTTATCGAATAAAAATTCCTTTGTCAAATTGTAAGTGGGAAATAGTTTTGTATATTTTAAAGTATTTTAGTGTATAAAATGGTTTCACCTAAATCAAAACATAAAAAAAGTTACTCCGTCATCTTCCAAGAACGTCGTGCGTCCTTTTTTTTTGGATTGAATTCTCGGTATTTGTCCAAAGGGATAAACTTTTAAATACCAAGTGGTTACGTCCTATTTGGTTAGTATTTTTAATTATTTCCTTTTCTTTTCATTTATATATAATTTAAGTGTAAAAATTTATATAAAATAAAATGTTAATATTTTTGAAGTTTTAAATATTAATTTTTTCTACGTAATCCAAAGAAGGAAGAATGTAATATATAAAATTTAGTTGATTTGTAGTCCTAAATATTAGAAAAATAATTAAATGAGTATTCCTACATATTAGAAAAATAATTAAATGAGTATTCATACATATTAGGAAAACAAACTAAATTACTATTTTATATGATGTAAACTCTATTTGTAAACGGTAAAAAAGACGAACGATATTTTGTTAAGGGCATTCGTGCTTTTAATATAATATAGATATAGATTTTATTTTTATATGAAAAGTAGTTAAATTTTGATTACTTTTGAAACTGTGCCTATTTTTAAGTACCAATTCTAAATCTGGTTATTTCTGATTTTACCCCATTCTATCCTTTAAAAAATTCCCTCTCAGTCCAACTTGTAATCAGATCCTAGGGTCCAAATTCACTCCCTCCAAACCGTGCCCCTTCTCTTTTGGCGGGAAAATCCCTCTCTCAGTTCCCAACATTTTTGCCCTCTTTCTTCAATCTTCTCCGATGACCTAAAACCCTAGTTAGTGTCATCTGTATTCTGTAATAGCACAACTAAGCTCAATCGAAACATAAAATGGCTCCAAAGAAAAGAACAAGTTCAGGATCAACGAAGAAATCAAGCAATCAAAGCCAGAACCTTCAGCATCAGCAGCAATCTCAGCCGTCCAAATTCGGGATCCAGCATTTCTTTGAACGCCACACCCAAAATGTCCTCTCTCAGAAATCCAAACCCCTCCTCGTTCCCCACAACTCCAATTCCAACTCATTTCAAATCCCTCAAGAAAATTCCAGTGTCTCAGTACCAGAAACTTCTAGAAATGATGGATTGAATTTGAAAAAGTGTGACAAGGATAGTGCGGTGTCTCGAGATAAAGGTTATAAAAATGTAAATAAATCGGATCATATTGATGTAACAGAGAGATTTAAGGATAGGGGAGTTGGGGATGGTAAAAACAAGGAAAAAAGAGTTACTTTGAAAATGAATGACTCGGGTGGTCCGTCTCAGAGTACACCTACGGAGAATCTGGTAACTGCAGGTTCAGGGAAGGAGAAAAATCAAGCAGAAATAACGCCTGAGTTATGCAAGTCCGTGTCTGTGAAGCGCTTAAAGTTTTCTCCAGGAATGGTAATTATCTTTATTTTCTGATGGTTTGTTTCTAGTTATTGTTGTTGTTTATTTATTTACCTTTTTATTGGCGAGTAACATCATCAGTGATAGATTCATATAGCCAACACCAACTTGTTTGGGATTGAGGCGCATCAATTGTTAGTTGCTCGGTGAAATTTACTTGGATGGAGCTAATTTTCAACGCGTGTATATGAATGAAGGGTCTTCTTGCTTACGTATTAATTACAAAATTGCAACTTTTTAGGCTCATTCTACAAGAAATCGTGCTATGACGGATCGGGGCAAGGGTAGGGGGAAATTACTGAGTAAACTCATTGATGTAACATCACACAAAAGACTTTTAAGCAACGCAGTTCTCTGTGTCACTGAAGTTAAAGTAGCATTTGTCAATAGTATGCGATATTCATAGAAGGCAAATTCTTGTGCTACTTATGTTGAAGCTGGTAAGGCTGACATTATGTCCGCTAGGTTATTCCTAGACTAGGAAGCTTAGTCAAGCCAAAACAGTAGCAAGTCTAATCTGAGTCCATTATGGGGAGAAAGTAGCAGGAAGAATTTCTAGTAGATGGTACACCATTCACGTAAAATTAGGACACTTAAGAACCAGGAAAGTTAAAGACTTGGTACTAATCCTGACAATTAGAGAGTAGAAGATAAACTAAGAGAAGTATTCTCTCCCTGCTCAGTGCTACAGGACTTAGGCTGTTGTTGGGACACTTTTGCTTATAAGAGTTGTTTTTGGTCGAGGTTGCCAATCTCTTACTGGAGAGCTGGGAGTTTGGGGTCCTAACCTCAGAGACCTGTCTAAACTTTGTATAGACATTGCATGGCTGTCCCGCTTTTAGAATTTTGAAGACATGTTGGTGGTCTTCTTTGACCCCAGCAAACTCTTCTATCTTGTAAGGAGGATTTTGAATCTATCAGTCGTTTAATAAACTTGACACACCTTTTAGTCTATACTTTTAAATGCTTAGACTGTTGCATTCATGGTTAAGAAAGCATGAAAAAGAATTAAATCTAACGGATTCAAAAGTTGTAGAAGTTTGCTTGCCAGTTGCATATGATCTATTATATGTGCTGTTGTTTGTTAGCTGATCAAGCAAAGCCAGGATGATGGAGGTGATGAAGTATCATGGAGAATATCTCCAGTGAATGAACGACTTCATGCCGTGTCCAAACAACTACCAGAGATGGTAAAAGTGTTGGCGGATTCATCACGCTTCAACTCCTTAAGTATTCAAGAATGTTCGCTGAAAAAGGTACATAAACATAATGTACAATTATGCTGTGCCATGTTTTGTTATAGATCATTGTAATACTATAAGACTAATGATTACTACAGACGTCTCCCGGGACAGAAAGAAAGTTTGAGAAGCGGCTTTGTTCACCTCCACTGAAGGCGCTTGATAAATCATTAGTAAGCTCAAATAGGGCTAGCTTGAGAAACAGAAACACCGATCATGTAATGGATCTGTGGGAAACCAATGGAAACTTAAGCTGCCAGAGCAAAGCTGAAGTAACTAACAGTCAGAGTCCTTTTCAGACTCCACCATCTTTGACATACGGCAGCGATAAGGTAGTATCTGCATCGTCATCCTAGTAAACATCTGTCACGTTTTGTGTAGAAATGTTTCTGATGATTTCTGGCAATTAATGCAGCCTGCCAATGTGGTCAATAATAATGAATTCTCTGATCAGCTTGGTTCAAGGCAACACAAAAAGGTCTTTGACTGCTCTGGCATTTTCAGCTAATGTAATTATTTGCTGTTAGTCATTTCTGACCCCATTTGTGCAGAAAATGTAATTAGTCGTACTTCGACAGTCCCCGTGCTTTATAGGTTTTATATCCTGTTTCAGGCATTGATTGAGCTTTTAGACCAAGTAGAAGATGTAATTTCGGTTGAACCAAAATCTAAAGAGAAAGTTGCCCATAGTCATGATGAACCAGCTAAGCCAGCTTCCATTGTACTAGAAGATGTAATTTCTGTTGTACCAAAATATGAGGAGAAAGTTGCATCCCATAGTCATGAAGAGCCAGCTGCCATTGTGCTAGAAGATGTCATTAATGTTGAACCAAAATGTGAGGAGAAAGTTGCATCCCGTAGTCATGATGAACCAGCTAAGCCAGCTGCCATTTTGCAGAAATCGGCAGAAAGTTTTTGTGCACGTGACCAAAGGAAAGAGTCAACTATCTATTTTCTTGTATTGGAGGTACATTGAAACTTCTCTTATTTAATTATATCCGTTATGTGAATTATGGATCGATGTACTTCAAAACATATGTTACTACAGGTTTCTGAGAAGCATGGACAAGTTGAAACATCTGGACAGCAGTATTCCTTCAAGGTTTGTGCCAAAGCCCCTTGTTAAAACCTTTCTGAGTTCTCACTTCTCACTAACCCAAGTGATGTACGGACACCTGACGATGACTTTCAGGTTTTGCGTATACTGAATGAACAAAGTGGAGAAGAGCGGGTTTTGCATTTGAGGGATGAGTGGTAATGAGTTGAATCTCTGTTATTTCATCTATTATCAATCTGCTGAATATACTTAAAAACACAGATTCACAATCAAGCTATTTCATTCAAGAGGACCAATACTCTTGAATAATTTCCTCTATTTCTGTTATAGTAGAATGTAGACAACATGGGCGATGGACTTTCCTGTTTACAATGACTTGTTACTCGAACACAAATACTTTTTCTACTCTTACATCATCTTCCCAACCGACAGTTCAGTTGTGATGATATTTAGTCATGCAGAACAGCAATCTCAATGTGCATTGTGTAACTTATATCTAATATCTGCTTCTTTAGATCTGTCATGGACCCAAAGAGATTATCATGTGAACTAAACAAACAGAGATTACAGTGACACTGCTACTCGGATGACCTTTCAAACACTAGTTTTGTCCCCCTTCTTCTTGCATCATATGTCTTTTGATGTTGAGGTAGCTTCTATGTCTTTCTTGTCTTTGCATTTGAGTTTACAAAGGCATCTTTATCCTAAATTCTAAAGCAGACAATGTTTTAGTCCCAGCCGCTTTTCTGCATTGCTTCATTTTATCAAAATACCTTCCACTTGTGGGAAACTATAGTCCATCATCTGTATGAACCTTCTGTGGAAGAGACCAGAGATCGTCTCTTCTTAAGCTTTGTAATTCTAATTGTTGACAGACAATTATGATGAGGAACTTACTTGCTTTCCAGGTGCTATAGTGTTGTTGCACCAGGAGATACTATTCATGTCATTGGTGAGTTTGACAGCGAAGGAAAATGTGAAATAAACCGCGAGAAGAATTTTCTCATTGTTCATCCAGATGTTTTAGTCTCTGGAACAAGGGTATGTTTGTGCAATTATTTTTCAGTTGCTTGTTTCGATTACTCAACATGTTGTCTTTCACTGTTCCAGCTTCTGCAAAGTCTTGCTTCCATCAGTTGATGATTCTTCTTTCTCCATTGTTCTTGAACGTTGAGTACTCTGTTAGGTTGCTTCCAGTTTCAGTTGCTCAAGGCGAGCTGTGCTGGATGAGAGGTTAAAATCTGGCGAGTATTCAGCTGCAGCATTGATTGGTACATTATTGCATCAGATGTTTCAGGTTTTATGAATGAAAATTTCTTGCTTTCTATGGCCATAGGCACATTTCCTATCATAGTTTAAATTTTCACTGCTATGCATGTACTATAAACTATGCCATTGAAAGTGACTGACGTTTTTGCCAGGCTGGGCTGATCAGAGAGTCCCCTACACAAGAATTCTTGGAGGATTATGCAAGGATAGTGCTCCAGAAAAGTCTTGAGAGCCTATATGCATGTGGAGGTGAGGAACATAAGTTTCTCCCAAGTGCTACTTTGTGAAGTCGTAATTATTACGTTGGCATCTGGAAACATGCTTTCTTAGAAGTCCTGGAAAGATGATTCTCAACGACAAGTCTACAGTAAAGCACTTAAACTGTCCATTCCTTTCAATGCTGAAACTTCTCAAACTTGTGGTAATTGCAGTTGATGAAAATGATACTCACAAGACATTGATTGAGGCAATTCCAAAACTGCTGAATTGGATACGTTCCTTCCAATATTCAGAGGTAAATGGCTACATTTGTTGTTAAACACTATCTTGAGGCTATTAGTAACTAAGCTGGAAAGGTGGGGTTGTGATTTTGAAACTTTAGAATGGTGTCAACTCCTTGTTAGACTTAGATTAAATTAGGCTACTTTGTTCAACAAAGCATGCAGCCCTATCAAGAACATGCCATATTTTTTTCCAGAAAGGTGATGGTTTATGGATTGTTTACAATTTTTGTGCTAACACTTGTAAAACCCAAATGAGACAATTGAAAAATAAAAAGGATACGGTACCTAAAGAAAGCATAGTTAGAGCCATCTCCAAAGTACTATGTTCCAAATTCTTTGTACATAGGCTAGTCCTCTTAGTCACGTCAACCAAAATGTGTGATAGATGGATACAGGTGTGGTTGCATGGGTGCGGATCTAGAAGGATGATATGTCATCACCTAAATCTTAGGATTGGGGAATTAGGAAAGGTGGTCAGGTACAAGTGCTGAGATACCACTAATAAATGTATAGTATAACATATATATTTATATGACTAATTCATTTGAAAGATCATCCGACAAAAACACATACAAATAAATTGCTTTAAATATCTAAGCTTTTATTCCATGCGTATATCATATACAATTACAATTTTTCAGAATACTTTATCTGAATACTTATGTAAAACCCAAAATTTGAAACCAAAAACATAGCCAACCTATGCTTCTCGGCCATAGTTGTAGCCAATGCAGTCTAGGTGAATTAACCAAGTGCGGTGATATCTCACACCCATGCCCTTATCAATTTGGATCGACTTTGGTGTTTTTTTTTGGAAGGATCCATGTAACATAGGCAACACTTGTCCTTTTGCCATGTCCATCACTATTTTCTACTTCGTTGGTGGCTAGTTCTTTGTGTTTGATTCTCAGTACATCTTGATTATAATTTGTGCCCATTCTCACATTTGTTCCCACATTGATATAATTTCTCTCCTTGTTTAACTAACATATTTATGAGCTTAAATTATGCTAGGTTTCAGAAGGCCCAAGTATTGATTTTGGAAGTGAAGACGGAGTTAAGAAGATTAAAGTATGTGAAGTAAGGAACCTCCTATCTTTCTTGGTAATACGAATTTTATTAGTTCTCAGAAGCATATGTTGCAAATATTTCTGATATACAAAGCATTAACCACATCAGGATGATCATTAGGAATGGTTCATTCCAATGTAACACATTTATCTCTAACATTAGTGTCTTTTTGTATTTATGATTTGTGACGAACTAAGAAATAATCGACAAGCTTTCCACACAGTCCTCCTAAAGTATAACGTTAAGATTTTTTAAAAAGAAAAGGTTCATTATTAATTGATGAGTTATGGGACATCAGATATAAATTGTGTTTGTAAAGTTTATGGTAGCGAGATTGTTAGAGTATGTCTAGTAATGAGCAACCAATGGAACATGTTAATCTAACATTTAACTAATATTACATTCCCCAGGTGGTTTACAGGATTTGTGCTTCAGTTCAGTTAGCTATATGCACTTGGGTTTGCTTTCTTTAACCAAGATTATGCCTGATTTATTAGTTTTGACTGGATATTGAGCAGTTTTTTCTGAAGGACATTATTTGTCTTAAAGGAGAATAAACTGCAACATGATGCAAAACTACTGGTGCTTTGTAGCATTATCTACATGACAAACCCTTCTTTTCTGGAAAACAAAGGACAAACATTACTTACATGTCAAGAACATATATTCACCTGTAATTGTTTTGAAAATGCATATAACATGGTTCACCCTGTCCAGTCTGTCTATCCTCCCTGAGTTTATATTCTTTTCATTTTGGATGTCCTTAAATATAGGTACTTGATATTGAAGAAATGGCATGGGCCCCAAAATATGGGTTGAAAGGCATGATTGATGCATACTTGCGAGTAAATGTAAAATTCAACACCAGTAAACATAATGAGATGATTATGCCTCTCGAATTTAAAACTGGGAAGGCAACAAATGGACTGGCAAGTTTTTTTGAGCATTTGCCAAATAGTACCACTTAGTTGTGAAGTGATGATAATTTTCCACTTTACACGTTCTTGCTAGGCACCTAACCTCTAGGCTATCGTTGGCTTTACATTCTGCAGACAGCTATGGAACATAATGCTCAAGTGATGCTGTATACCCTTCTAATGTCAGAAAGGTGCACCGAACCCTGCCTATTTGCATAATTATTCACCTACTGTGGGCATGTGCTGTACTGCCATGTAGATTTTCCTTTAGTTCTTCATAGATTCATCTCATTGCCATCTATTTTTCTCTTAATTAGATACTCGCAGCATATCGGACATGGTCACCTGTATTATCTGCACACAGATCATACGCAGGTAAAATCAAGCATTTGATTTTGATAAGTAGGTGAAAACTAGCATCTGTAAGAATTATAAAGATTGCTTTTCTTTGCAACCTTCTAAATTACACTTCATTTTTCAAGGGAATTACTGTTCGAAGATCTGACTTGGTTGGCCTAATAATGCGCCGTAATGAACTTGCAAATGATCTTCTCAAGACCACTATAACTCAACAACTGCCACCAATGTTACAGGTAAGGTATCTCCGTCTCATCCTGTTATACTTGGATTAAATACAGATAGTGTTTGTGAGAACTGAATATTTTGCATTAGTACTGTCTAGTCATTGAATATGTGGCTGATCAGTTTCCACATAATGGCGTGTTGTCCGCTAAGCATTCAGGGCCCGCATTTTCTTGTGCCTTTTATCATATTCTCTTTGTGCACAGTCCTGTAAGTTTATAGAAATTGTTAAGGTTAAAAGGCTCTTAATTGTATTCTGTAACCTGTTCTCTCTGGTACCACATAAAAATCTCTACTGAAATATATCCTCCCCCTCCCCTTGGTTTAGTTGTCTTCATAGAGGTGAATGTTTTGCCTGCTAAGTGTAGTTCATTCCGAATACACCTTCAATTAGTATTGAATACTAATTCTTCCTGTAGAGACCTAAGCATGGTTGTCATCTTCCACCACTATCCCAGGCCACAATCATTTATCGCCTTAATTATAAGTAAAACCATAAAAGGGATCAGAAAACTGAATTAGCTTATTACCTGACCAAGAGGAACTCATTTAACAAAATCTTCTAGATATTATTAACTTATTATTCTGGTGACTTCTTTCTTTTGATGCAGAGTCCAAATATGTGCAGAGGCTGTCGACACCTCAATGTCTGTACTGTTTATCATAAGGTAATTTGAGAAGTTCTCAGGGTCTTCATAGTGACAAGCATCCATTGTGCTCTTTTACGTATATAGATTTTCAAAATAATTGGTTAAAGGGGCTTCCATGTTTACTCAGTTTTCAATCCTAAAACATTTTCGCATCTTTAGCTATGCTCCATGCTAAGAAAATGTTCTCCTTTCAAAATGATCGAGATTCTGAGAAACTCAGATGATAAACCATCTATAGAAGAAAGGAAGGGAGCTTAGTTGTTGAAGTCGGTAACTAAATCCTTTGGTTGGCGAATGTGCATGTGATAAATATACAGAGGTATCTTCATCAAAATAAATATACAGAGGTAATATGCTTACACGCACTGTAGTTCTCTTCTCCTAGTAAAACCTGCCATGTGGTTACAGTAACATAGGTGCTTGCTGATAGAAGAAGGGGTAATTAACAATCAAGAGAAAGTTATTGCCTCAAATGCCATGTTTGGAATATTAGTACTAAGCCTGATTCCTGAAAAATATCAAATGACTGTAAACTTTGACATTTATGCTACAACTAGTACTTATTTGGAACCTGAATTGAGGCAAAAGATTGCATTTATAATGTGTTAGAATTCTAATTATGTCGGGTCTTATTTTTCTTGACAAAGGTGCCAAAACTTGGTGCGCGCCTAAGAAGCTAGACATGTAATCAAGGCAATCTAACGGCTTTTCTGAATACTAATCAATTTGCTTAATGATGAGGAGTCAGCATTTTGCAGTGTGCAATATGGAAAGGACTAAAGGAACATACTTGAAATCGAGCAGCAATTGCTTCCTTTTTTGTTACTGTAGATTTTGAGAAGAAGAAAAGGCTTCTTGTATTTCTGTGTGTGTTTACATCCCATGAGTAAGGGAATTTATACAAAGCTCCTAATGCTAATTAAGGAAATAAAATAAATCTATACAATCAATCCAGCTATCAAATAAAATCAAATAAAATCAGTTCTCTTAAATATAATCAAATCTCCTGAAATCATGCTAATCAACACTCCTAAATCAAGTCTCCTTGAATCATGCTAATCAACAAAATGGGTAGAATAATGGCGATGATAAATCAACATGCATGTTTTCCATATTAGCCTAATCAATGTTGACATGAAAATCAGTCATCTTTTCTTGGTGTATGCCCGAATACTTATTCTCATCTTAGTTGTGCTTATACATCATATTATGGGTAACATCAATATTCAATATTATTGGGACTTTGTTGAAAGTAAAAACTTATACTACTGGATCCTGAAAATTTTCATAGGCATATGGTGGCACCACAGAAGGTAGCGGTTTGGGCGGTGTGTTTGATTCACTTGTTAGCCATCTAACAATTGCACATACTAATTTTCTTCAAAAATGGGATCAGTTGATTGACTTGGAGGCTAAAGAAGTTGAGGTACAATACATTGTCGACTGTAAATGTAGAAATCACTTCATGGCAATTGAATATCTCTTTACTTGTTAATTTGTTTTTTCAGGTTGTAAAGAAAGAAATTTGGTGTTCACAAAGTTCAAAGAATGACTTTTACGCTTCTTACTTATCTTCTCTTGTCCTTGATACATCAGAACGAACCACACCAACAAACTTTTGCAAAGGAAATCAATTTACTTATCACTTTGTACATCGAGATTGGACTTCCTTGGGCACTCATCAACAGGATGGAGATGCTCTTAATAGTTATAATTTTCCCATGAAAAAGTTTGAATCCTCACTTAGGAATGGGGATTATGTGGTATTCTTCTTTCCCATATTCTTTTTGCACTCCTGAATGTTCTATTTTCACAGCAAGCAGCTGAAGCAAAGAATTACTTGTCCATAGTTGTAACATCATCTGTTTGCCTCCCAAGGGAAAAGTAGCGAGACAGAGCAGTTATATGCATCTATAGCAAACTGCAGGTTCCTGTCCCTGTGAAATATATTAATCGGATGGCTTGAACTAATGGTTCAATTAGTTATTTTGGTGAAGTAATGAAGCTTCTTAGAATTCAATGAATCAACTATGCCTTGATCCTGAATTAGTTGTGGTCAGCTACAGGAATCCTCTTATTCGTTCCTCTCTATCCGGGAGCAAATGCCTTGGTGGCTCTGGGATCATCCCACAATTTTAGTAATTCTCTACTAGCGTCAAACCCTCGGCGGACTTCATCAAGCTCATAGAGGAAAGGGAGTTCTCACTATTCAATAACAAAAAAACAGAATAATAGTCAATTATTTTCTGAAAAAAATGGGGTAATTTTTTATTTAGTTGGGGCCATGGCTTATGTTTGTATAAGTTGCCTGCAAATAGAGTAATTTCTAGTTTTGTTGAGCCTCTAATTAGCTGAATTTTTTGTTTCGTTCCTGCACTTTCAGCTCACAGTAGTGTATGAGTTGTGATCGTTTGAATTGAAAGTGCTGTCTTATAAGCGTTATATGTTTGGTTCTATTCATGGTCATGATCAATTGACGGTATGACAATATAAATTTTAAACTATTCAGGTATTGAGCACTGAACCTGGTGGTATACTAATAGCTACTGGAGTTGTTGTAGATATGAGTTGCTCTCGCATCTCGGTGAGTATTTGATCTTTATTTGGTATTAATTCTTCAATGCAAGGAGTTATTACTTTATAATGTTTGTCATTGCTGCAAATAGCCTAGAATGCACAGATATAACTTATTTTCAGTTCCTTCTTTTCATTCTCCTTAGGTGGAGCAGCCTGAACTTTTCAAATAATCTCATTTGTTCCAATGAAAAATAGGAAACTTATATATTTCTCATCTGCCAATCATCTTCGTTAATGCTGTTAGATCTCACTTTGGTCCCTTTCAACAACTGAAAAGTTTCTTTAATAAATAAGGTAGCTCCAGACTATACAGGGAGATGATTAAGAATGAAATAGTTTGATTGTTGAGACAAAACAGAACAAAAAAGTTAGAGCCCTGACCATTAACAAAACTAAAGCTTCACACGGCTCTTCCTTTTTATCCCACTTTCAAAAGAAAAACTACTTCAGGACCTGGAAAGCATTTTCCAAAATGAAAAGTTAAAGAAGTCCAAACACAGAAGTCTTCTAAACCAGTGTTCGTCTTAAGAAATAATTACAACTAAAGCATACTAGTGTTTAGCTTACTGTATTTCGTTAGGGCTAAAGCATTCTTTTGTTAATATATCTATATCTATACAAGATTTCCTTACGGCCTAACCTGTCTATCTTATCATAGTATTGTTTTCAAGTAGTAGAGGTCCATTGTCACTCATTCTGAAGTGAGCCAGGCTACATTCCCTTGTATGTCTTTGATTTAAAAAATAAAATATTTGTGGATTTGTCATAATCCTTTATGATAATTCTGGCACTAATTAACAAGTTTGGAATATAAAATTCCCTGGGTACTCCTTTTGATTTTGGGTCCAATAATGTGTAAAAGGAAAAGGCATGCGCAGATTTCAACTTGTAATATTTGCTTTCATAATTCAGGTATCTCTTTCCAAACGCTTAAGGCTTCCAGGTAGCAGCCGGACTTCACAGGCACAAGATCTTCATCAGCAGTTGTGGCGAATTCATAAAGATGAATTTATGGGTTCATTTGCAATTATGAGGTATTCAAATTTTTTCATGTGTTATTATCTCCATCTGAAGTACATGTATTTGTCCAAGCGTAATTTACTCCTGCTTTGATTTTGAAGATTCAACCTCATACAACTATTTCTGCAAAATGAGCAGAGTTCTCATCTGAGGAAGATGATAGTTGATCTGGAGGTGAATGCTCATTTGATTTGCAGCTCCTCAGCCACAGCCCTCTTTAATGAATGAGAAGAAAATCTTACCTGTGAATTTCTGCAGGTGCCTAGGTTTGATAGTGGATGCCAATTTAGTCAAGACCCTGCCATCTCATACATTTGGTCAGAGAAAAACTTGAATGACGATCAGCGCCGAGCCATACTTAAGGTGAAGAGTTATAGAAACTCTCTGTAATTGGATTTATATCTGCACTTGCAAATCAAAAGTATTGTGAATTATCAGAATCTTAATTGGATAAACCAGATACAAAGCAAAACTTACATCATTCGAGTTGTCAGAACCCTCAACCATATCAAACTGTCAGAATTGTATTGTGAATTATCAGAACAGCATCATATATAATTGTCAATAATGCAGATACTTACGGCAAAGGATTATGCGCTGATACTAGGAATGCCAGGGACAGGTAAAACATCCACTATGGTCTATGCTGTGAAGGCGCTGTTGATGAGAGGTTCATCCATTTTGCTTACCTCCTATACAAACTCAGCTGTTGATAATCTGCTTCTCAAACTGAAGGCTCAGGTCATCTCCATCCTTGATGCTTTGTCTCTTTTCGTCTTCTTGAGCCGAGGGTCTTTCGGAAACAGCCTCTCTACCCCCTCGGGTAGGGGTAACGTCTGCGTACACACTACCCTCCCCAGACCTCACTAGTGGGATTTTACTGGGTCGTTGTTTTTGTTGTTGCTGTATCTCAAAAATTTAGAAGGTATAAGCTGTAGAACTGGTGTCAACATAGTATAAAATTCTTGTTAAATAGTCTTGGGAAAGCTAGATTTAGCAAACTGAAGAAATCTATATTTGGTGCAAGGTAGGCATAGGAGTTGATGTGTAGCATTAGATGAAACTGGTTGATTTAAGAAGGGCCTACTATGGCAACTACACTCCCTAGCTGCTTCTACTGGTATTAGTATTACATCATTATTTCCTCTTTATCGTTCGATCATTTAGAAGCATACACCTCACATTTTACTACCTCCAATCTCCTGAAATAAATTCTAGCATAAAGCTGCTTGGTGGTGACTCCATCGAATAAAATCCTTTTTGAATCACCAAATTGTCGCATCCATTGAAATCCCTTCCTCCACTTGTGAGAATTTGATGCATATGCAATGTGGTCAGTGAATGGGCGTTAAGGAGGATCTCCACCTCTCATTTGAAGCTCTGCTGGAAGTATGTGTTCTCGCATGGAGTAACGGGTTGAAGGAGCCATCAAGGAATTGGACATCCCTTTAGAAAGGGCTGGAAGACCCTTTTAGATGCGAAATTCCTCGTTTTTTTCCTCACATTCCGTTGGTCAATTACGAACCAAGGTGCTCTACTTCACTACTTGTAAGGTGTGACGTATGATTCATTGACTTTTAATTTAATAAAAGAAGACATTTAAAATGCGAATTTCTTGCTATTTAATGGATAAGGGAATAGATTATAGCTGTTCAGCTTAACTCAGTGCAATCCTGTAGTAAGTACAACTCAAACTTAGGCATTCAACTGTTAAATATAAACCCTAAACCCTAAACCTATATTTTTAAAATATATAATTAATAACAACCTTTAAAGTTTAAACTGTTTTGTAACTTGAAGCATTTTCAGGGAAAACTAACAAATGCCTATCAGTAATTCTAAACACAGGATATCTTGAGTCCAAATTGATAAACAAGTCATTTACTTTGAAGTTGATTCCCCCATATTGTAGATCATGTATAACTTGGTCTCACCATGAAAAGTTTTAGATAGCGCTGTTAAGCTGTTGATGAATTAGTAGACAAAATATTCGGATATATGTTAGTGGGGCTTAGGCGAAGGGGCAAACAAATATAATCTATTAGCTTCATGGCTGTAAACCAAAATTCTGCCCTTATAACACTTATCCTCACATACATTTAGATCAAATCAAGAGCCTGCTGATTTCTAAGGTAAAAAAATAACTCAATTACCTCTTCGTGTATAAATGTATCAAGTTAAAGATCCTTCTTTTTATCCATTTAGATATTCAACTATACGCAGTGGCTCTGCAAGTAAAATGAAGCTGATTGACTGACATGCATGTAAGCGTTATCGAGGAAAATCTCTCTTTTCCTCTTCCTCTAAGGGCATGGTTTTTTGAAATGTCCTGCTGAGAATGATTTCTCGACATGCTTCACCTACATATTACGGAGTATCATTTATTTTTCCTAGTGCTTTCATTCTCTGGTATGCTTCTGCTGACTGCGAACCACAAGGCACAAGTAATGTAGTGCTTTTACATTTACATGCATATCCTACTGCATTACCACTTCAGTGGACATTGGGACTAACATATATACTGTTGCAGGGTATAGATTTTATTCGCATTGGAAGATATGAGGTTGTACACGAGGAAGTTCGAGAGAATTGCTTATCAAGTTGGTTTCTGGTAACTTTGTCAAAGAGTTTGCTTCCTGATTGGCCCACAGAATACTAATTTACTGCTGGACTTTCTCCTACAGTGATGGACGCTCATGGTCTTGAAGAGATAAAGCAAAGGATAGATCAAAGCAAAGTTGTTGCTGTTACGTGTTTGGGGATAACTAGCCCATTGCTTTCAAACAAGAGATTTGATGTGTGTATCATGGATGAAGCCGGACAAACTACGTTGCCGGTACGTTTCTATAATTTGTGTTGTAGTGCATTTGAACATTTTGGTCAATAGATCTCGTGAATGAGGTTAAACTTGTCAAAGTTGCTATTGCTGATTGCAACTGTCCTATATATCTCAATTAACAATCTTTTTATTTTTTTGATAAGGTAAATTTTTATTAATGAAGGTACCAAGATGGTACAATTACACCAGACCAAAAACTGCCATAATACTTATCAACTACTCCTACAAATCAACTATCTCCTCTAAGAAATCTATGTATTGTTCTAGATTTTCAATAACACTCCGTTTACACCTAAAAATCAAATTCAAAAGACGTCTATTTTTAATCCTGGATACATGCTGTCTTATCCCTTCAAAGCAAACTCTGTTTCTCTCCACCCATGTTGTCCATAAGACACATAGGGGGATTGTTCTCCACACTGCCTGCTGACTTCTTGCCACTTGTTGATGTTGCCATGTCTCCAGCAGACTTTTTACATTTTGTGGCATAACCCATTTGATACCATACAAACCAAGGAATAGCTCCCAACACTGTCTTGCCACTTTGCAATGAATGAGGAGATGATTTACTGTTTCTAATTCTTCTTCACACATATAGCATCTATTAATTAAAATAGTTTCTCTCTTCTGTATTTTATCCTGACTTAAACAAGCTTCCTTTGTTGCCACCCACCCAAAACATGCTCCTTTAGCAGGAGCTTTTGATTTCCATATTGCTTTCCATGGCCAATCAGATTCATACCTCCCTTGTTGCTTCTGTAAAAGAGTATAACCTCTGCTAACTATGAATTTCCCATCATTACTTGCTGCCCAAATCATTGAATCTCTCCTATTGCCCTCCAAACTGACACTGTCTAGAAATTGCATTAACTAAGCGAATTAATCTACTACCCAGTCATTAAGGCCCCTCCTGAAGATCAACTGCCAGCCATTACTTGAATAAACGCCTGCTACCTTCCCATTCTTGTCAGAGGAGCAGCGATATAAAACTGGAAATTTGATTTGAGACTTTCATTCCCCATCCATACATCATTCCAGAATTGGATATTTTTACCATTCCCCAGCTTCAACTTTACAAACTGACTACACTCATTCCATAGACTACTGATAGTGCTCCAAAGTCCCCCTTTGGAAAAGGATTGGACTGCACGAGGAGTCCAAAAATCCTTCCTGCCATATTTGACATCTATGAGTTGTTTCCATAACCTATTGCTTTCATCATTATATCTCCAAAGCCACTTAAATAATAGGCTTTTGTCGTGCAGCCTTAAATTCCTTACCCCCAAAACAATCTCTTTTGCTTTTCCGTTTCTATGTTCTTAGAGCTAGTTATTTTTATGAACTACATTTGTCACCAGATGACAAGTCCTTGAAAAACAAATGACAATATTAGATCTACAATCCAGGTATCATTGGGACCATTGACATTTGCATCAAAATTTGTTCTAGTTGGGGATCATTATCAATTACCACCACTCGTCCAGGTAATCTTGATTCTCTCTGCGTTGAGCTCCAATGATTGTTACTTGTGATACCAAAACTTCGAACTGTTTCCATATTAGAGTGCAGAGGCTAGAGAAAATGGAATGGCAGTAAGCCTGTTCTGCAGACTCTCAGAAGCTCATCCCCAAGCAATTTGTGCTTTGCAAAGCCAGGTATCTTCAAATTTCAATAAGATGTTTCTTTCCACCTCTGAAGTTCGTTTGGGTTAATATAGTTGCCACTACTATGCTACAACTTGCAGTACCGCATGTGTGCAGCCATAATGGCATTATCAAATGCCTTGATATATGGTAACAGATTGCGATGTGGTTCTTCTCAAGTAGAAAATGCCAAAATCAAGTACACAACATTGCCATCTGGACCTGCGTGGATGAAGGAGGTAATAGTCAGTGATTACAAACATAAGAGGCCCGCCTCAGCTAGAAAGAATGATCTTAGGATGGAAAATAGATGCCGCTTCCTAGTATGATATTACTTTATTCTATATATTCCAAACTATAGAGGCCTGCACCTTCTATAAAGAGATTGATGCCTGGATGGAAAATACACCTGGTGAAACTTGTTCATTCTTTGAGCACTCATAAGTTCTTTCCTGTATATAAGTTAAGCGTTTGAGCTGCTGGTTCATTCTGCAAAGTTAATTCCAGCAAAACAATTCCACTCAAATCTGCACTTTCTACTTGCTTCTCAAGGAGCAAGTCTGCTAATATTTTCATGTCATAACCACAGTGATGCTCTCTCATCTTAGAGTGATTTACGCTTTCATTTATATATACTTTTTCGATGTACTTATTTAGGTATATGCACTCAAATTAAAGAGGTGTCATGTAAAACCTAGTGCACTTTTTAGTTTTTAGTGTTTCCGTCTGGTAACTAGACACAATATGAGTCATTTTTTGCCTGTCCATTCTTTTCTGTCTGGACCCTCGAGAAAATAGAAAGATCCAGTTTCTAACTGAAGCTCTACTACTTGTTAATTCTGAGATTTTTTATTGGTTGATCTAATAGGTTTAGACTACTGAGGAGAAAACAGAATAGCCTAAACACATGTTCTTCACTACCCTTGTATTAATGAGACCGAATTGTTGGTTGATCTCTTGTGTTTTAAAAAGTGAAATTTGGCTACCCGCTGTCCAAAGTTTCTCATCGCACAATCTTAAAGGTCCTTAGAAAGGATGATTCTTACCATAATGATGATTCATACAAAGTTGTACATAACTGACAAGGAGGAGTTCAACTTTGTATACAAAGGCCGTGATGGAAAGGTAGGAAAACAGTAGGAGAAATTTTACAAGGGAGAGATTTAGTGCAGTGACATGGTGTGATCATTATCTGACAAGGATGATCTCATCTTAAGCAATTATATTCCTTCCAGAAAAATATGTTGTATGAATTGTGAGGGTTAATACCCCTACTGCTTGTCGTCTTATTCTGTGAAATAACGTATGATCTGTCTTGACAGGCTATGAATCCAGACAGACCTGTCGTCTTTATAAACACAGGTCAGGCAAATTCCTATCTCAAATCAAATTATGCAGGCTTGTAAATGCAGTTTAAACGTTCTTGTCCTAAGCTGTTGCCTTATCTATTTTTCCAAACTAGATTTGTTGCTTGCATTTGAAACAAATGACCGTAAAGCCGTAAATAACCCAATGGAAGCAAATATCATTGCTGAGGTATGAATGCCTCTTGCTTCTTCCATGAATATTAATGACCATTAGCATCGGATCACAAGAAATATATTAAGCTGCAATTTCTGTATAATGCTTTTGGCCTACAGATCGTGCGTAGGTTGTTGAGCAGAGGTATATTGGAGGAAGATATAGGCATCATTACACCCTACAACTCTCAGGTAGATCTTATCCGGCAATCTGTTTCCACATCAGTGGAGATACATACCATTGATAAATACCAGGTAATATATATGTTGATGTAATTACATTCTTGAAAAACATCTTAAATTTGCAACTTTTCTTACTCATTAAAAAAGACAGATGCTTTATGGCAGGGTAGCAGAAGGGTAAAGGAAATCACTAGACAATCCTTACTAGAAACATATCTGTCTATGGTTATTCATGACACATTTGTAATTGTCAACTACACATAGGCGACCTAGTACGGTTTTGAACTATAGGGTCCTGAATGCCAGCTGGAAGTAGAGAGCAGAAAAATGGTTGGCTTTCCGTTTCTGAAACAGAAGTTCAAGAAGCCTAAAACTTCTCAATACCCTAGCCCAGAACAAGAAGAGTAATCCCTCGCATCTCACATTGCTACTTCAGAGACACTTATGTTCACCTGACTTTGCCTAGAAAAAATCCCCAAGTCCTTGTCCAGTTGTTCGTCATCTATCCTCAACCGTTTAAGATTATTTGTGCCAGCTATTAGCCCCAAGAAGGTTGTTTGGCAATTCATGAATGATCCAATCTACACGATTTCTTGCTTTTAGAATCATTTTCTGTGGCTCATGGTGGTCTTGCAGTTACATCAAATAACTTGATNTTGCTATATTGTAAATTATTGCAAAATCCAGTCCTCTTAGGGTTTGCATTTTTGTATTCTAATGCAAATGTAAATATTAATGCTATGCGAGACCAAGACCCAGCCATTCACTCTTGTGTAAATAATAGTAAAATTTCCTGGGTGAAATGAAATTGTTCAAGGTTAAACTTCATTTCACGAATGTCTGTATATGATGTATCAGATTGCCATTTCAATGCTGGTAAATTGCTAGAAGGTTTTTACACGGGGGCACCTCTCGTCAGTAACCCAAATGGCAGACATTGGTAAATATAGCCAATTTTAATTTGCACCTTCAATTTCGCTGCATTATGTTGTTATAATCCAACGAGCATTTTTGTTCACAAAATAAATAAAGGACTAACCATAAAATCAATCTCTTTATTGCATTTAGCCAATGAGGTAAAAATGGTATTATTAGATGTAATGAGAATTCTCGAATTGATTTATAGGGGTGTCGTCCAACATGTTTAGAAAGGTCAAGGTAAGACGTTTCACACTTAGCATTTTGCACTTAGGTAGAAAAATGGAAGCAAGAGAGGCCCCGTTGATATAATCAGATCTCTTTATAACAGAGTTTGAAATTTAAATATTATTTAGTTATTAAAAACAATAATTATCCAAAGAATTAGTTTTTATTTTTTTAAAAACTTATAGTAAAATATATAAAAAAATTACTTAGATTTAAAACCTCAAAAGATAAGCATATTTTACTAAATAAAAACTTAAGAAAGCTAATATATTATTAACAAGTATATATTGATGTAATTTTCTTTCTCAAAATTTGTGTACTGTATTGAAGATTCAAAATATATGTTTATGACAACAAAGCATAAGTATTGCTTTCTTTATTATGAAAATAAATGACAATTAACATAAGTGAAATAATAAATTCAATTAATATTTGAGCAAAGTTGTTATGGAGGGATAATTTTATAAAGAGTGTATTCTTAAAATGATTTGTTACAGATAAAAAGGTTATTATAACAAAAAAACACTTAGCTGTTAATAGCGGAATGTTATTATAAAATGGTTGTTATAGAACTCTTGACTGTAAGGTATGCTTCACAAATTGGTTTATTACCGCTGAAGTGCAATCGAAATTTAGCTTCTGAAGTAAAATCACTGGAAGCAGAAACCAAAAACACCGCCATAGCTTTATCACAACATTCCTCGACAGAAAGGATCTATTTTGGAAGGGAAAAAAAAAAACTTCAGCTATTTTCTCCCCGACGACCACCCTATTATGACACTATCTGGTTCAATTATGCAAACAATAACTACCAGTAACTAAAAAATAATACAGTAATAATAACTAGGCCAACTTCTTTTGAAAAAGGAAATTCTATTTACCAGGGAAAAGGGAAGGGGAGCAGAGGAAAAAAGACCATGAGAATCAAACCCAACCTCTATTCTGTGAAAAATGCCCACGGGTACCACTGCAATGTAAGCTTTGGTTGTAACCACAACTTAATTTCCTAAACTATTATAAACATTTTCTTGAGTCAGTGGACATTCGCATGCTTGCTGCATAAACAGTTCATGTGCAGTTGAAATAGCTGTTTAAGATGGCATGCAGTGTATTTTTGTGGAGCCCACTCATCGGGAACTTTCAGGAATTTCTCAATGTCATCAAACATGTTGACAGCAAATATATGGGACCTATCTAACTTGTATCCATATGTCTTCTCCTTACTCAGCTCAGTAGAAAAAAATGGAATACCTGAGAAGTATTATACGCGATGAAGCAGTACCCAAGGGTTTTCTGAGTCTCAGGATCAATAGGCATCCATAGACCATCCTCCTTAATAATACCAAGCTGGCTGTTCATTTTCCGAACTACTCCTTCCAACTTCTCAAATTTCTCTTTAGGCACCACATGATCATCATCAAACTCCAAGGGGTCCTCCTCCATTAAGTCATCATCATCACTGATACTTGGTCCAAATGCTTGAACCAAACTATCAACCACTTCATCTTCAGAATCAAATTCAGTTAAATTGGGACATTTGAGTACTCTCGTTTGTTGCCTTTTGTCACCTCCTTACTCTGCTGTGAACCATTCAGTTGAGCTGAGGCTTCATGTTCAAAGGCATGATGGTCTTTATTCACACTATTAGCTGCTTCAACAGTCACAGTTAATTGATTATGGTACTCAGAAAAAATAAAAGTGTAAAATTTTTGTAAAAATTAAAGAAAAAGAGATTGTTTATTCTTTAACAGTAAAATACTTTAGAACTTTGAATTAAACTACTTATATTTTCATATTGGTAAATATAAATCTTTACAACAATATCAAAAGAAATATATTGTAAATACATGCCTAATATTTTATTTATTCAAATTATCGTTTACTAATATAAATAATATTATCTCTATGTAAAGTTAAAGCCTTTATATCATTTAAGAATATTATACTATAACAATAGCTTTTTTGCATATATATGTGTGCATACATATATGAATTCTAACATAAAAAGTATAAGTACTTTTATTAAAATTTGTCTTTTGATCACAAATTTTATTGAGCTGCCCTTGTGCCAAATACTGAACGAGTATTCTGCACCATCTATTTGGCTCCAATTTCTGTATTAGCATCTTCCACCAAGTCTTGATTATCAATATGATTAAGAATGACATCTTTTTGTTCAGAGACTATTGCTAGAGGAGTTGCTTTCTTACGCCGAGAGGGGGATCAGGAAGTCTATGCATGTAGTCCACATGCTTTTTTTAGATACGTTTGCTTTACATGTGTTTGGAATTTGGGGGCTAATTAACCATTTTGCTGGTTTTGACCAAAATATTTCCTCGTTGCAGCTATCCGGCGATTCAAATACTATCAAGTGAAGTTTTTGAAAAAGTCATCGTCACTGATACTATTCCCATTGCAGATTTGAAAGACTATGTTTAGTTTTGATGTTGTAATAGATTGCATCTAGACTTTATTTCCTGTTGTTTGGTACTATGTTCTGTTTTGGTGTTCTTGAACTAAGACTTTGCTTCCTGTTATCTCTATCACTTCTAGCCATCGGACATATGGTGTACAATCTCCTATTTAAAGCTTTTCCTTTGAGACAATTTTAAAGAAATTATTTTAGTATTTTATGTCGTTGTTTAGTATTTTATTTTGCCGAAGAAATTCAGATCGGAGATGGATTATTTTAATGAGCCAAGATAAATTTAGAAACACAAAGAAAAACAAGAGTTAGAGGTTTCAACATTTTATTGGATAAGCTCGCTAATGTCATCCGTTTGTAATCAACTATAACATTTAGAATCTAATGCTTTTCCAAAGTCGATTGGGAATTTGCTAGTTGAAACTAATGTCATCCGCTTTGTAATCAACTATAACATTTAGAATCTAATGCTTTTCCAAAGTCGATTGGGAATTTGCTAGTTGAAACTAATGTCATCCGCTTTGTAATCAACTATATCATTTAGAATCTAATATTTTTCCAAAGTCGATTGGGAATTTGCTAGTTGAAACTCTTGATCAAATTGCATCAGGACAACCTTCAGGTTTGAATGTTATATCCTTTGATGCTCTTACTCATACTTTGTTTAGAAATGTAGGAAATTTTTGGCGCACACAATAGGGTTATTAGTTAACCCTAATATTCCCTATATAAGTACACTTACAATATACAATAAAATTTACTCTTTACAGTATTTTTCCATGCTCTCTCTCTCTCAATCCAACAAAATCTACTCTCTGCAGTATTTTTCCACTCTCTCTCTCTCTCTCTCTCTCTTAATCTAACCTTGGGTTTAGGCTGTGGTATAGGAGGTTGCTCCGTCACAATATAACAACTACCACCTACCGATAATTCCAGCCGCGTTTCCTCCGTTCCTTCCGCTTCCGCTATGCGAACAAGTAAGTTTTCATGTTACAATTTACGCGCTATCTAATGTATTTGATTTATCGTGTTCCTTTATTGGTATCAGAGCCATATGCTAGTTTTCTGGTCCAGAAACATATATATAGAATCGTTCTAAATTTATGTTTAAAGCTAGAACTATATTTTTTTTATCTGGGTGCAATTGGGATAGGTTAATATGTTTAACCGTTGCATGACAGTTTTTTTGCTCACTTTAAAATCCGTTTTCAGATCTTTAAAAAAAATCCTTAATAAAACGTCTATAGAATCCCGCGTGTCCCAAGAAACTCCGGACACCCTTCATAGAAATGGGTGGAAGTAATTTTTCAACCGCCTCCACCTTCGCCTTATCTATTTCAATGCCACTCCTTGATACTCTATGACCCAACATGATGCCTTCTTGTACCATAAAATGACACTTTTTTCAATCTAACACCAAATTTGTTTCTTCACAATGGGCCAAAACCTTGCTCAAATTCTTCAAACAATAATCATAAGAAGACCCAAAGACTGAAGAATCATCCATGAAGATTTCCACAATTTTTTCCGCCATATCAGTGAAAATAGCCATCATGCACCTCCGAAAAGTGGCCGGTGCATTACAAAGACCAAACGGAATTCACTTGAAAGCAAAAGTACCATAAGGACAAGTTAAAGTGGTCTTCTCCTGGTCCTCTGGGCATATGACGATCTGGTTGTACCCCGAATAACCATCAAGAAAACAATAATATTCATTCCCCCGCCAATCTGTCCAACATTTTGTCAATGAATAGAAGTGGGAAGTGGTCCTTGCGGGTTGCTTTGTTGAGCCTTCTGTAGTCAATACAAACTCTCCACCCCGTCACGGTGCGAGTAGGAATTAGGTCATTTTTCTCATTCTCTACCACAGTCATCCCCCCCTTTTGGGCACACATTGCACTAATCTTACCCAGTTGCTGTCAGAGATAGGAAAGATTATATCTGCATCGAGCCACTTAATTACTTCTTTCTTCACGACCTCTTTCATAATGGGATTTAATCTCCTTTGTTGCTCAATACTGGGGTGGCGTCCATCTTCCAAAATGATGGACTGATTCACTTGATGTCAGTAAGTGTCCACCCAATAGCCTTTTTATGCTCGCGAAGTACTCTGAGCAATTTTTCTTCTTGCACATCGGTCAAGCTCGATGAGATAATCACTGACAATGTCTCAGAGTTTCCCAAATAAGCATCGCGCAGATGCATGGAAGGGTCTTAAGCTCTAGCTTTGGAGCTTATTCAATATATGGCTTAGGAGGGGTCAAAGTGACAGGCCTGTCCAACTCCTCAAATCTCCCAAACCCATGGACATAATTGCAAGACATGTTAAGTCCTTGCTCAATTTATTCTATCATCTCATCTTCACTGTCTTCTTCATCCCAATCAAGGCTCGTTCTAGAGGATCTATGGATCTCATATAAGGCACCAATGACGTCATATCACTTTCCACCACAGAAATAATGGATAGCTCTTCATAGTGGGCTGGAAATCTGAGTGCTTTATACACATTGAATACCTCCACTTGGTTTCCCACTCTCATCGTCATCTTTCCTTCACATACATCAATAATAGCTCGACCCGTGGCTAGGAATGGACACCCCAAAATAAATAGGACTTCCTGATCAGGCTCATAGTCCAAGATAATAAAATCTGCAGGGAATATGAAAGAACCCACTTGAACTAACACAATCACTCCTTCAGGATGAGCAAGGGAGCGATCAGCCAACTGTAAAATTACCGTGGTTGGGCGCTGCTCACCCAACCCCAATTGTCTGAATACTGATAGCGACATCAAATTTATGCTTACCCCAAGATCACAAAAGCTCGCCCGACTGTATGCTTACCAATTGAGATTTGGATAGTGAAACTACCTGGATCCTTCAATTTCTGAGGTAGCTTGCTTTGAATTCTAGAGCTACATCCTTCAGTGAGTGCCACAGTATCGAACTCTGTCAACCTTCTCTTATTCGCTACTATGTCCTTGATGTATTTGGCATATTTGGGCACTTCTTGAAGGATGTCTACTAGTGGAATATTGATTTGCACCTGCTTCAAAATATCAAGAAACTTTTTATAAGCGGCATTATCCTTCACTTTCTGCAATCTCTGAGGGAACGGGAGGTTGTGTCCTCGCAACTAATGATGGGGGTTGCTTAGAAACTGCCTCTTCAACTGGCTTCTCGGACTCCTTTGCCTTTTCTGATTCTGTTTCTACGGTGGTTGGTTTCTCATGAAAGGTCACTTGCTTTCTCTTTTTCGACGAGATTTCTTCTAACTGTCTCCTATTCCTCAATGACACAACATTAATAGATGCCTTAGTATTAGCCTCAGTGTTACTTGGAAGAGCTCCAACTGGTCGAGTATTTTGGGCACTAGCAAGTTGCCCCATTTGTCGCTCCAAATTTCTCATTGCTGCTGCTTGGGCCTGGTGGTCAGCCATCAATTTCTTTAGCATCTCCTGTGACTCGTCGGGGTTGTAGGTTGCTCAGTATATAGTGGTCTACGTTGCTGTTGAGGAGCTTGTGGTCTATACTGATTCTAAGCCCCTTGGTTTCCACCCCAAGAGAAGTTTGGGTAGTTCCTCCAGTTAGGATTGTAAGTGTTCCCATACTGGTTTATCTGGCCCCTATTTGCATTACCCACAAAACATACATACTCTGGATTAACTGGGCATAAGTCGCTCGTGTGACCATCTCCACATACTTACACAAAATATTTGAACCTGTTGTATTGGCTGGGCTTGCTGCTTGTTAATAACCAAGGTCATCTGGTTGACTTGGTTGGCCAATGTGGCAATCTGTGCTGATAATACAGAGACGATATCTAACTCGATAACCCCTGCAGATTTTTGCACTGTGTGTCTGCCCATCTCTTCTTGCCAATCAGGATTGCTTTTGGAGAATTTGTTCAATAATGCATATATTTCATCTAAGATTTTCTCCAATACTTGGCCTCCCACTGCAACATCCACTACAATCTTCGTCTCAAGAAGCCCTTCTATGAAAGTGTGAGCTAATACTTCATTTGTCTGATTGTGATGAGGACAGTCTCTGAGCAGCCCCTTGAACCTTTCCTAAGCTGAGTATAAAGACTACCCCGATTTCTGTTTGAAGGCAACTATCTCACTTATGATGTTTATAGTTTTTCCTGAAGGAAAGAACCTTGCCAAAGATTTCCTCGCGAGATCATTCCATGATGTTATAGAATTGGTTGGTTCCCCTTCAGCCATCGCTTTGCTTCGTCCAATAGAGAGTACGAGAATAATGTGAGCCTCACATAGTCTGGAGTGACTCCGTTAGTGATATAAGTATCACTAATCTCCAAGAAGTTCAGGATGTGCTGTTGTGGATCATCGTGTGGAAGACCAATAAACTGCCCATTCGCATGTAGTAACTGGATAATGCTCTATTTCAGCTCAAAGTGCCCAGCGATTCTGGGCTTCACAATGCTGGAGGTGACATTAGCAATGCTGGGTATCGCCACCTCCTGAAAAACCATATGTTGCTCCTCTGCCATATCCACAGGAAATTGAACAAGTGCTTGAAGATTATCTGTGTCCCTTGCTTCCCTCAACCTCCTGTGAAATATTCTCTCAGGTTCGGGGTCAAAGCCTTGAAGTCTATCTTGGCTTCTGACCCTCCGCATTCAATCAAAGTTCCTGAGAGCAGAGCAACCAATAAGTAATGTTAGACTTGACGAAATAAACAATTAAAGCAAAAACTAGAAAGTAGTCAATATTCAAGTCCCCGGCAACGTCGCCAAAAACTCGTCGCTTCCCAACGCACACGCAAGTATATGTGGTCGTACAAATAATAAAATGATAAGTTGAGTGTCGAACCCACAAAGACTTGTATTAACTACCCACTAAATTCACCAAGATTGTTATTCAATCAAGTCAATCAGAGTTCAAAAGTGTGATTATCCTAAACAATAATTCAAACAAGTAACTAAATTATCAAGCAGCAAAATGGTTATTGTGTATTCAATGGAGACAAATATTCTAGGGTTGTGATCGATTCATCAATCCTATTGTGCTCTAGTTAACTCTCTCTTTCATACAATTCACTCATGATTGCTAATTAATCGAACAATTGCTCTCGTAGTATTCTCCCGAATTCTTTCTCGCCTATTCAAAATAGATTAATGCCTATATTCCTATGGAATCAATCTATTAAGAATACATTAAGCTTACGATATTTAATTAAGCACGGTGACTAGGTATATTCCTATCCTAACCACAAATCTGCCCCGTCCCCCCTCAGAGTTAAGATCATGCTCACTTCAATTCTTCTCTAATCTAAATAGAACCTAACTGTTGGCCAGACAATTAAGCAATTAATCACAGAATTGAAGAAACAACCATATATTGGTGAATTTTAATCAAGGTTAAATCAACTTTAAACAACAATATTCATGGCTAAATCACAACCCCAGAACTATGGGTTTTAGCCACTCATGATAATATCAAAACAAATTCACAAGTGTTGAATAATTGAAAATACTAAGAAAAGATGAAGTAAACTGAGATATCCTCGCTCCCAGATGTTCCTTGTGTGTATTTTTCCTTCTAAGTGGTGTCTCCTCTACCTCCAAAAATGTTAGATCCCCTTCAAATTAGATTTAGAATTTCTTTTATCCGCATTG